CCCTCTCTCACTCAGTCCCTTTTTTATGTTTTATGTATCTTACTTACTCACTTGTTCTTTCTTAATCTTTCTCTTTATTTCTCTTTCTCTCTTTCACTCTCTCTTTCTCTTTGTACTCTCTCTCACTCAGTCTCTGTTTATATGTATATTTCTTACTCACTCGTTCTTTCTTACTCTTTCTCTTTATTTCTCTCTCTCTTTCCCCCTTTCTCTGTCTCCCACTTTCTCTCTCTCTTTCACTCTCTCTTTCTCTTTCTACCCTCCCTCATTCAGTCTCTTTCATATGTATCTTTCTTACTCACTCGTTCTTTCTTACTATTTCTCTTTATTTCTCTCTCTCCCTCTTTCTCTGTCTCTTATTCCATCTCTCTCTTTCGCTTTCTCTCCTCCCTCACTCAGTCTCTTTTCATATGTATGCATCTTTCTTATTTTTTTACTTTATTTCTCTTTTTCTCTCTCTGTTTCAACATCTCAAAACCTTTCTTTCGTTTACATTTATTTTCTCGTTAATGTTCTTTTTCTCATCCATTTATTTTTTCTCTCCCTCTCCCTCTCTCAAACTCTTTATTTTATTTACACTTAATCTCCCGCTAAGTCTATCTCTTTCTCAATCATTTACTTATTCTCTCTCTCTCTCTCTCTCTCTGTTTCTTTCTTTTCCAACGTTTCACACTCTTTCTTTCACTTACAATTACTTTCTCGCTAACTCAGTCTTCTTTTTCATCCAATTATTATGTTTCCACGCGCGCATGACACACACACACATACACACACACACACACACACACACACACACACACACACACACACACACACACACACACACACACACATCATTCTCCCTCATCTGACCACATTCGCTGGGACAAAAGATTTAAAACCAACGATTAATTTTATTAACTTTGATATCAACTTAATGTATACTATTCGAAATTTGAAATTTGCTTAGCGCTTTATTGGACCATGTTTCGCATAAACAAAGTAAATATAAAAAATGAAAGAAAAAAGGCTATATTTAGTATCATTTGATACCCACGAGGGAGTTATTAATCTCGCACAGAAACAATTCTATTTTGTTCAAATCTACATGAACTTTACATAAAAGTCATTCACTTATACAGTAAATATTATCGGTAAGAAGAAAACTGAAGATATACATATTTTCATTTAATCAAATATTGACTTTTACTATAAAAAGGTTTAAGCATAGTCAATAGGTAAATGTCTTAGAGTTTAGAACAATTTCTACTATAAATTTCACAATTGACAGTTTGTTTGAATGTTTTAATTTTCCTTTAATTTACAAATAAATTTGATATTCTGTAGCCTAATGATAAATTTACAGCTTAAACAGGTTTTTCTTTTTGTGTATTTTTAAATGGGAAATCATTGCAAATGAAAAATAGGTTGTTTATTGATTTAATAGTTTTAAGGTCAAATTTAGCAACAGGCATGGGACAATTGATTCCACGGATTAGGTGCAAGACCAGGTCGAAGCGTGATTCTTGATTTCATGCGACATCCTTGCATATGAAATTGTCAAAACGTGACTTATGGTTTTAACATCATTTAATGTTTTTTATCACAAAAATTGGACCATGCGTAACATATTTTGCAATTAGTCTAAAACATGATTTCTCATAAAGGTACCAAAACTCTTTCAGAAAAACCTAAAAACGAATTTGTAATTAGTCTGACACGATAGTTCATAAACCGGGTTTTAGTCTAACACGGCCGTTAATAGGTATTTCACAATAATTGGATTTTTATCACCGATTTTGTCTGCCCATCGAACTGGAATTTGCACACTTATAAGAATTGTTTAAAATAAACTTTATTTTGCACTTTTAAGTTTTAGGACATTCTATCGTCTCTTCCCGCTCGTGACACTGCCTTTTTTATCTGCTTAGGTCGGTATCTTTCTTTCTAAAACAAGTTAAGCCTTGTTATCAAGTTTAACTAGCAAATATTGATACTGGAAATAATTAGCACTAATTTACACCTTGAAATCAATAAATATGGTAAATATATTGTTTTGTTTATTAGTATATAGTTTATATAATAGAGGTGGGAAATTATCACTAAGTCGTTTTCTTCAGCTAGGACTTGTTTTTAAATATGAAAATAAACCATTGAAATAATCCAACGAATTGCAAAAACAATCATATTAATAACCACTTTACTCGCTATCTCTTTTTCTCATCCACTTATCTCTCTCTCTTTCTCTCCTTCTGTCTATCATTTTTCAAATTTTGAAAATTGAAAAAAAAAAAAACATTAATAACCAATTTGGTTCGTCTGTTATCACCTGTGACAAAACTACGTCAGAATTTTTATCCAGGAAAACATAATTTTATCAATATTGAATATTTTTAATTGTTTATGTACTTCTACATTAAAAACCTGCACTCTGACCAGTGAATCATTCCTTATTTGTTTCACCTCGATTTAATAGAAGGCTAATTCGAAAAATCATTACAAACATTCCCGGCTTGTTGTTGTTCTTCTTCTTTTCAAAATGAGAAAAACCTCATATTATAATAATTAGAAAAATCCTTAGATTGGAAGTTACAATTAGAAATGGACAAAAAAGTTTGGAATGTAAGGAGAATTAATTAGTTAAAAATTATCAATTAAACACTTATACGACTACAAAATTAACACTGCATGAACTGTATCAAAAAATTTTCTGATATTTTAAAGAACTTTCACGCTATCAATTTTTCATGGAGTTTTTTTCTGCTTCGTCTATAAGTAGTTAAACGTAACATTCAAGCGTATACGGTTGCAGCATAAATCATAAAAAAGGTTCAAAAAGGTTGATTTTACTGCAATAAGACAAGTAGAACAATGTATTATGAGCGAAAAATGTAAAAGATTTATAGGATATGTTTTTATGATCTATTAGGATGAAACTTTAAAAACTTAAGCTTAAGGCTTTAAGTAAAGAAGACTTTAAAGCGTTAATTTCTAAGAATCTAATATGGCAAAGGTAGAAAAAAAGTGTTAATTTTTTCAGAATCTATCAATTTTCACAATTTATCATAAAAAAGGTCCAAAAAGGTAGATTTTTGATGCAACTTGCGTAAGGCGTATTATTAGTACATTATTAAATTCACAAAATAAAGGTAAGATAGAAAAATTATTACACATTAACAAATTATTAGTACATTATCAATTTAAAAGAAATTATACATAAATTTAATGATTTATGTATAATTTGTCAGAATCTCTTACGGCAAAAGTAGAAAAAAATATATTTTGAGAAAAAGAAAAAAGGTACAAGAGATACATGATTTAGTTTTGTAAGCTATTAGGACGTGAGATACTTTAAAATACATTGGTTTTAAGTAGCCATCATCACAGTACTGATTTCTCAGAATCTCTTATGGCAAGAGTAGAAAAAAATATATTTTGAGAAAAAGAAAATATACAAGAGATACACGATTCAGTTTTGTAAGCTATTAGGACGTGAGATACTTTAAAAAACACTGGTTTTAAGTAGCGTCATTATAGTACTGATTTCTCAGAATTTCTTATGGCAAAAGTAGAAAAAAATATATTTTGAGAAAAAGAAAATATACAAGAGATACACGATTCAGTTTTGTAACCTATTAGGACGTGAGATACTTTAAAATACTTTTGTTTTAAGTAGCATCATTACAGTACCGATTTCTGAGAATCTGTCAATTTTCACAATTAAACATAAAAAAAGGTCCAAAAAGGTAGGTAATTAAATGCTCAGAATCTAACATACACAATGTAAACAAAAAAACCTATTATTTGAAAAAGAAAAGGTAAGAGAAATAAATTATTTGTTTTTATAAACTTTTAGGGAGTAGGTCACATCAACCATCATAAGTCTTAAGTAAAGGACAGAAATTTAACATAGAAAAAGTCCAAAAAGGTCGATATTTAGTGCTATTTCTCCCTCAATAAAAAATTATTTTTTGTTTATACACGCTTTTAGGGTGTAAGACGGTGTAAGATAAGTTAGATTTAACATATTATTACAGTAAAAATTAATATAAAATTTTAAAATAATAAATTTATACAAAAGAAGAAGGAAATAACAGATTTCAACACAAATAATTACATCGATTAGGTTTCGTGGTCCGATTGACCAATTAAATTCTTTTCAATTAATTAATCTTTAAGTAAGTATTGGTTGAGATAAAAAAGTCAGTGCCACGAGCGGGATTCGAACCTACGAAGTTCATACGCCGCTGCTCTACCACTTGAGAGAGTAGCATGTAGTCGAAGGTCGTGTGTTCGAATCCCGCTCGTGGCACTAATTTTTTTTATCTCAACCAATACCTTACTTAAAGATTAATTAACTGAAAACAATTACTCAGATTTAAATAATATTGTAAAAGATAAGCATTCAGAAAATGGTCAAAACAGAGAGAAATCTTGTCACTCTTTGTACAGACTTTTATTTTGGAAAAGGATTATTAAATAAAAACTTTGCGTGGGCTAAATTGCAATAAAAGTCTAGATCTTATAGAATGTTTTTGACATAAATAAACTGAAAAAGAAATATATTTTGTGCCGCTTCCCTTCCAAAAATTGCAAAGGGTTTGTTTTTTACGTTTTAACTTGTAGGTAATTTAATAGTTACAAGATTTATGTATAATTTCAAGATAAGAAACTTGAGAAAATCCTTTGGGTGGTTTTTCTTTGGTACCGGGTCTTTTCAAAACTAAAAGATTATAGTTTTGACAATGCTTAAGTAAATTATTACTTAGGGATAAGATCTTATATAGGGTTCGTAAAACATTGTTAAATCGAAGCTAATTTTAAACATTTGGCTTAAATTGTTTAAGTACTTTTTGATTAAAATCGAATGGCATTATAATCCTTGCCCTCCTCCGTATTTTCTAATATGGAGGATTTTTATGGTGCCGATTGTTCGAACTTTGTTATCCCGCATGACTATGTCAGAAAATGTGGTCCTAAAAAATGAATAATGTAAATATTATTAATAAGCAAGAACTCACGGTTTCCTCGGGATATTTGAGCTGCAGGTCGACGAAAGTCTTCTGATCTGGAAAAATCCTCAGGGTCTGAACTGTGTGAAGAAGATCGCCATGACAGAAAACGGCACTGGAAATTTGAAAGACAATCCAAATTGATCGAATCGGTTGTTTCGACACCTTTCATTCACAAATTACCTTTCGCAACTGGGCTTCAGTTCTGCTCGGGCCGAGGTCAACCTAAGGATCATAAAAACGATCGTATCACAGAACACGCTCACCGGCCGCATGGCGATCCAGGGACTAAGCTCGGAAGAGTTGAGACCCTTTCGATTTATATTAGCTCTTATCGGGCCGGCCGTCCTACCCAACGGAACGGGTGGGGGAATTGCAATCCGCAATTTGAAAATTAAAATTTATACGTCGCTTCTTGGGTATTAGGAATTTTGGGTGGTGGACTTCGTCGAAGAACAAGCCGGGCTCTAATGACATCGTCAGAGGATTGGACAATCAAGGGGTGACTTGACCACTTTAAGCACGAGCATTTATTAACAACAACCAAAGTAATAACAGAAATGAAGACATAAAATAATATTTGGGAAATTTAATATGAAACTTGGCAAAAGAAGGTCAGCCTATAAATGAACTTGAAATCAAATTAAATACAATTTATACTTAATTTAATTCCCTCCCTGATAACAGAAAAGATTTAATATAACGTATATACAACATAGATTATTTATCGGTTCCTTTCTTGTTGGTTAATTCGGATAAAATCGAGCAAAATTGTGATTTTACTTACAGTTTTAATTTGCACTGTAAATTTTGATTTTCCCAAAGACAACCAGTTAATTTGTCATTACAGTATTATTTTCTCAGAACTAAATAGTGAAAAATCTATAAGAAACATTTTTAGAAAGACTTGACCACTTTAAGCATTTATTAACAAACTTAGTTTTTACCATCTTTTGTGGAACATGCTTTAATAACTAATAGTGTCAACTAAAAGAGAGGTTTTAAGTTCAATCAAGGATATCTAATATCTTTAAACAATAAGTCTAGTAAAATAATTAGGTTTAAATTAATTTTGCAGAATTTAACTCAGAAAACGCAAAAGGAATAGATTTTGTGCTACCTCCTCCGACAAAAAAGCGAAAAATTGAAAAGTCCCAAGTGGAAACTGCTTCAACAAGCATATTTTTAAGTACAACCATCATATATTTGATATCAGGGTTAATATTATAATTGTCTATTAAAAAATCAGAGACAAGGCGATTTGAAAAGAAAAACATAATTCCATCGTCAATTTTTAAAATTCATCACGTCCTAATAGATTACCAAAACAAATATTCATGTTGTGCTCTTTTTTATTTCTCAAAATACATTTTTTCTATCTTTGTCACGTTTTATTGTGAGCAATTCATACATGAATGCTTTAGTTAAAACCAATGATGTTTAAAGTATCTTAAACCCTAATAGTTTTTAAAAATAAATCCCACCTTTACTTTTTTACCTTTTCTTTTTTTGTATATTTATTTAACTTTATTTTATTTATTGCTACCTTTACAAAATATACATTGAGCAAATAGTATAGTTGATCATACATCAAGTATAGTTATAAACAAATCTGTCAGATGGACAGTAGGCAGTGGTGTGAGAAACCAACCAGTGCTGGAACTCTTTTTTATCTACCATCCTAGGATTTACTCCACAGTTTTATGCTGCATAATCTCTTTTCAATGCTTAGTAGTGCCTTGGTAGTATGTAGAATGTTGTCTATGTCCTCCTTTGGTCAAAGGTTGTACCTAGGTTTCTTTGGACAAGATTATGGCTTCGCCTTTTACAGTAGGTGCTTTTAAATTTAGTTTCCTTGTCCTTGTGAATAGTATGAGAAAGGTTTTCTTAGGGTTGATACCCGTTTTCTCACATCGACTTTATAAAATATTTAGAGCCATTAGATTTCGTGGTCCGATTGACCAAATAGCGCCTTTCAATTAATTAATCTTTATGTACGGTATTGGTTGAAAAGAAAAAGTCAGTGTCGCGAGCGGGATTCGAACCCACGATTTTCGGCTAGATAGGCCGCTGCTCTACCACTTGAGCTATCTTGACTTCGATCCACTCGGACACCAACTTCCCATCTCAACCCACCGTTCGGGCTCAGTTTGAAGGATAAATTCGTCCATTTAGATTCATTGAATTTTTAAAACTTTCCATCTCCACCCCCTGAAATATAGAGAGAGCGAAACATGCTTAAAATGTTGAATAAATAACATCCAAATCCATAGTTATAATTATTATAATCACATCCTGCTTTACTTTCCACCCTTTAGCATATCTTAGAAACTTTGATTACCCGAGCACATCAATTTAGCCCCTAATTAAAAAAAAAAAAAACAAAAAAAAACCGCAATTGCTACTCAAATAAATAGTCAAGCATTTGAAAGCCTTTTTTCTATATCATGAATGGTGGAATTGGATTATCCCTCGAAACGATTTTCCACGCCAGGAAGAAATTATTTTCGCGCTTCGTCACGAAGGGCATCAGGAAGGCCTGTTTTTTCACCCAACTGGGGTCAGAGAGATAGGTTCTTAAACTCGTTCCTTTTTGGATCATAAGGGGATTTTGTTTATAACCTTATTGAAGGTGGACAATCAAAGAGATTCTAGGATGAAGAACATCATTTCTAAGCAGTTGACATCATAGGCTGAACAAAAATTGACGATATATTTCAAGCATTGTAACTTGAAACTTGAACGATTGTTAATAAAATAAATAAAGTGTTGAATTGAGAAAGATCTTGTATGGATATGTCTTTATCATGATGACCGTTGGATATATTGATAGATAGTGGCATCTCTGCTTTAAATGTACTTATACAAACGATACGAATAAAACTCTCTGCGGATTATCTAAAGAATTAGGAAGAGACAGGACATAAGACAGGGTTTAAAATATCTTAGTCTAATAATAGAATTTCCGAAATTATATGAAATAGGAGCGGTCTCTGAACTCTAAAAAACTAGAAGCGTGATAATGACTAATTTCTTGTACTAGTACTTGAGTAAGATTACTAAATACTAGTCTTTATATGTTGTATAGTGTTTAGGTTTTTTCTTAAGAAAATGGGTCATTGCTTGCTGGTGACTGATCGAGCGCACGCCACGTACAGTCACATAGCGTGTATCACAATAATCACTATCACAATAAATTGTTAGTTAAATTTAATGAGCACAACCATGTAATAAATTGTTAGTTAGATTTTATGAGCACAACCATGTAATAAATTCCTAGTTATATTTTATGAGCACAACCACGTAATAAATGTTAGTTAAATTTTATGAGCACAACCATGTAATAAATAGTTACATAAATTTTATGAGCACAACCAAGTAATAAATTGTTAATTAAATTTTATGAGCACACTGACTCAGGATCCAGGCTCAGAGCTAACAGGCTTTCAGTCTCGAACTTCTACATCATAGAAATTCATCCTGGTAAGAAACCTTTCAGAACAGAGGTGCTAAGAATCACTAGGCAACCTTGCAAAATTTGAACAATATGTGACGATAAGTACGTTCCTTTGCAACATCATCAGTCGTAGATTTTTCTGAATTATAAGATATTGAATATCGTTGGCGATTGCCCTTTTGAACCCGTTTGGTTGTTGCCGGCCGATTGGCGAGTCAGTTGCTGCCTAGAGTTCACGCCAAAAAATCCTATTATTACCCAAATTCCATGGTTGTGCTCAATTTAAGCGGGGAAGACACCCGATGCAACGCTATGTGACACTACCCGATGCTACCCGACGCCTTGTCACGTTTTGGTAGTGTGTACATCTATGCGACATCAAGAGCACGCCATGTACAGTCACGCAGCGTGTATCACAATCGCAACGTCTTTTTTTGTTCTTCATGCGTTACTTTGAGCAAAACCTTGTAATAAATTGTTAGTTAAACTAGTTAGTAGTTTTGCCATGATGGCTTAAAAATGAACGAAAACCTGTTTAAAACGATAAATTTCCTCGGATGGTCTGCCACAGCGTGTATCACAATCGCAACGCCTCTTTTCTTCTTAATGCATTATTTTAAGCACAACCATGTAATAAATTGTTAGTTAAACTAGTTAGTAGTTTTGCCATGATGACTTAAAAATGAACGAAAACCTGTTTAAAACGATAAATTTCCTCGGATGGTCTGCCACAGCGTGTATCACAATCGCAACGCCTCTTTTCTTCTTAATGCATTATTTTAAGCACAACCATGTAATAAATTGTTAGTTAAATTTTATGAGCACAACCATGTAATAAATTGTCAGTTAAATTTTATGAGCACAACCATGTAATAAATTGTTTGTTAAACTTAATTGTTTTAAATACATTTATTGCGGTGTTTTGATAAATTTTCTGCCTAACCGTCATAATTAAATAATTTTTATAAAAACATGAATTTTTGATCTCGTTTAATTTGGTTTACATTATAATGGGAATTAATATAGCCACAAAATTACAAATACTTAGTTTGAAATAAACTATAATAAATACGAGTGTCCTGTTCTGATGCGACTCGAAGAAAATGGTGTAATTTTATGAGCAAAACCATGAAATAAATTGTTAATTAAATTCTTTATATCAAAAAATAGTATTCCGGTGTTTTGATCAATTTTCTACCAAACCATTATAATTAATTTAAAAAAACAACTAATGAATTTTTGATCTCGGTTAATTTGATTTATATTAAAATAAGTATGTTGTAAATAATAAACGTCAATAATACATGTAGTTTAATTAAACGCTTGAGTGTCCGGTTCTTTTGTCTTCGACTGTACTCGATGCTACCCGACGAAAATCTGGACAGTGGGGATCGCAGAGCGTAGAGTAGCGTAGCGTTGCATAGCATCCGCCAGATGTGCACGGGGGTAATACATTCTTATGGAAAATTAGGGTAGCATCGGGTAGCGTCGCATAGCGTTGCATCGGGTAAGTGTGTTCCCTCCCGGCTTGTTGTTTCTGTAGTAGCACAACGCCAACCTTTTTGAAAACTATGCACCGGACATTGATTAAAGTCGAAGAATCTACGACGTGAGAAAAAGTAGACTATTGCTTGGAATAGTTTGTAGGGTGAAGTACGAAACGGATAGAATAGATAGAATAACAGACCACTGAAGGTGGCACTAGACTAAAACAGAGAGAAGCAGACTGAGTTGAACCAAAACGACCAAGCGACTTCTTTATCCTCTTCCGTCTCTTCACATTTGGTTTGAGAGTTGAAAAGTACTTTTTTTAATTATCATTTTATTTATTTTTTTATATATGTTTAAAAGTA